GTTGGTTTATTGAAGACTTGATTTTCTTCTAACCTTAAGTTTTCGACAGTCTCATTCCGGCAAACTTGTACGTTTTATTCACATGATCTGGAAAAAGATAAAATGAGATGTTTAGAAACGCCAGCTCTTTTCGAAAGAACTGATCATCAATTATCATTCTTTCAAAAAGAACTGATAATCAAAACTGGTTTCATTCTTCGATCGAGAACTGTCACGCGTCTAAATAGGAAGTGAATTTTAAACTTAGCAATCAATCTTTTTGATGCATACATTTTTTCTTGTATGTAAAAAACTCAATAGAATCAAGTTTTTATATACAATAAAATTTTCTAATTGATCAAATATGACTGAAAAACACCAGTTATCAACTAATATTTCAATGAGAGCCATAGTAATAGAATTAAAATAATGAAAAACTTTGAATAATAACATATCATCTTCTATCTAGAAATTAACAACAATGTGAATTTTTTAACGTTTTTTTTTACTTACGATGGCTCTAAATAACCCTACCAAAAAGGCTTCTGAGAAAACAAAATTCTCACTACAAGTATATTTTTTCTTACATTCGTCATCATCTCGTGGATGTGGATTGTATTGTTGCTTTTGGACAGTATTACAACAGTCGTCTTTATCATTATCATCAGTTTCATCTCGGGTTTCATCTTGTTCTTCAATCATATGTTGACCAGGTTCTTCATCACATTCTTCTTCTTCTTTACGTTCATTATTTTCATCAAAATTGCATTCATTTTCACTACCTAAAACATATAAGTTAATGTCCAGATGTACCTTCTATGATACGATATTATTTTATTTACTACTATCACATTTTTGCAAGGGGAAGCAGCAGACTTGAAGTAGAAAAGTATGGCAAAGTACTTTACTTGAAATAGGCTTGAAGTAAGCTTAAAGTAGCTTGAAGTAATTGCAAGTAGCTTCAAGTAAATTTGAAGTTGAAAAGTACTTCAAAGTACTCTACTTGAAGCAAGCTTAAAGTAGCTCAAAGTAACGCAAAGTATTTGAAGTACAAAAGTCTGCTGTTTCCTCCTTGTATTTTTGCCCATCATCATCATCATTATCGAAAATCTTGGAATTCGGCGTTTTCGTAATTCCAAATACGCCACATCTTTTATTCGACTGTGCAGTTGAATCACGAGCATCATGATGATATGTATGAAAACATTCTATAACGGAAGAGAAAATATAGTATGAAGTTTTACTCAATTATAAACAAACACTAATAACTGACGATGTCCCTACCTAATTGACAAGGCAAATGTATGCGTTTTTTTTTAATTAAAGATTCAAAGTAAAAATGTCGAAAAAGTATTTTTTATCAGATAATATAAAAGTCAATTGTTAGCGTTCATTAACATTTGATCAATATGAAATAGAACCAATCGTTAACCTATTTTATTCTTTTTGCTTTTGAACAATCGAGAAAAAATGTTTACTTATTATTGACGCCATTGCTTGATGTCTTCATCATTATCTGTAATATTTTTAAAAATAGACAAACTAACAGATTGAAAAGGATTTTGATAATCATATCCTTTTTTCTTAGATTATTAAATATGACAAGCAACTTTTTAATAATCACATAATGAAAATTTTCCAATTCTTTTAGTTGATCTTAGAAAACAAAAGTTTTTTTTTACTGTATTACGCATCTTATTTTTTTTTCTTATTCACATTGATATTAAACAGTCATCATAATTAATATTCTTTTTATTATGACTATTCTCGACGACATTTGGTATGAACCAGATGACTTCATTTATTCTTGATGTTAAATATACGAACACATATAAAAAAGTTTTATTTCATATTACTTAGAGTATATTGAAAAAATCATTTCAAAATAAATCTAGTTTAATCGAATGGACGAACATATCGATATTCGTATTGACAATCAAACTTTAAATGAAACAATAATATCAGTATTCACATTAGGTCGACCACTTGTTATAATTAATTCCATAGGAATTACTATTGGAACAATTTTTAGCATTTTATGTATAATAAAATATTTTAAAACTCCGCATTTACGAACTCATTATACATATCTAGTAAGTAAAATAAAATAAAAAAAATATTCTTAATAATTGAATTTAGTTTTATTTCATGTTAATC